TGCACTAGGGACAGACTTTCACTCTCCAGGTCAGAGGGTCCCAGTTTGTTCCCACGCTCAGTCTCTGCTGCATTTCATGCTCGACGCAATAACCTTTGTAGATGCACTTGGGATTTCTCCTGGGAGCTGGGAATCACTCTGGAATCTTTTCCCAGTTCTAAGAAATGGAGCCACAGCAAAATTCAGTATTTCTCTTGGAGGTCTGTTCTTTAAAAGCGGTCCTAATTACCCTAAATAAAAGCAGTGTCATAGTATCCTTCTGCAGAGGCTTTTCTTTCGCTCCCGAAATCGCTGCTGCCTCCTGTTTTCCTGCCCAAAGCAGAGTGGGACTGCAGGGAGCTCCCACCTGCCTGGGTTGGGACCAGCAAACCCAAGAGCTTACAGGGAATTGCTGACTCTGCACTGGTTCCCTGCTCCAGCTGTTCCCAAACCCACAGAGATGGACCCTGGACCTGCACATTCTCTCACTGAAGCTCCAGAACAAGCCATAACACTCTCTGATGATGCTGCTCAGAGAGGGAAAGAAAATGTTTGGTTTCTGCTCAGGTGTCTCTAGGAAAGAGAAATTATCGGGGGGGAAGGAGCACTTTTGCTTTTCCTATGTCCTTCTGGCTATTAATGTGATGTATAAAATAGTGAAAGAGAAGGATTCTATCATTTTGTACCAAGGCTTAACACTGTGATCTAAAGGGATGGGGGTGAGGAAGGCTGGTGAGGCACTGCCAGGGAGAAGGAACTCGAACCCAAGGTGAGCCCTCACTGCTCTCCTGAGGTGCTCGAGTGAGAGGGAGGAATTCTGCCAACATACATGAGATATGGGGTTTGCTACGTGTGCTCCCCTCCAGGTAAACTAGAATAAATTCACTTTTACTTTAGAATTGACCGAAAATTAATGTTCTAGATCTTTTTAATCGTGTTGATTGTTGTTAGTTTCAATAAACAAAATATCAAAGTGAATAATTTAGATAAAACTTGTAATATAATTATAGTTGCACATTTTATTGTTCTATTAGACATAATAGCCAGCAATTAAGGTGTTTTTCATCTTTGTGAAATTCATGGATGAATTATGACTATAACATGGCACAGTTTTAATGAAATATTTGAGATCAATCTGTAAATATATTCTGTACATGACTGCTAGTAAGTGATACACATTTTCAGAACTGACAATTCATGCAACATGTTTCTGTGTTTGCATAAGGAATGTTACGTTTCTATCCTATCGCAGTTCAAAGACTGGGAAGAAAGACTCAAGCAATGACATCGTGACCATTTCTTTTCTCATTCCCAGGGGAGGAAACAGTGTTAGATCACAGCATGGCACAGAGTTCTTCAGAGAGTTCTGACATCCTGACAAAAAGGACATAAAATCTGTAAGGTACAAAAGCACAATGCATAGAAAAGATGAGTGGTGGTCTCACACCTGGGGAAAAGATCCTATTTATTTCAGAAAAATATGCATTAAAATGAAACCTCAGTTAATTTTCACTATAATTATTAGACTGTGTTCCAATTCTGTAACACAGTAGTAACCACAAGTGAAGGGATGTGAAACATTCTCCAGCTGTATGTGCATATGGACACAGCCCTGCCTGTCTGTATGGACATATGTGTGTGTATACCCAGGGCAGTGTGGATATGCACACCCTTTCATCTCTTGGTGTGTTAAAGGAATAAGCCAATGCTAGTTTTGTTTCTACCATCAACCAGTGTATGAATATATTTTTGACAAAAAGAGATTAATGTATTTCAGCAAACCAAACAACTTCCTCTACAGGGTAACTGGGCATTCCTGGGTGAGCAGTTCAAGGCTGGGTCTGTCTGGAGTGTTGGTGACAGTCCTGTACCTCCTGCAGCTGGAACCACACCAGTCCTACATTGCTTGCCTATTTCTTCTCTCTTTTTATAACAGCATTGTCCACTAGTAAGTTTTCAAAACCAACCAATTCCTTAGGGAACCAACAAAAAAAAGGCAAAAATAGTAACTATTTCTAGAAAATAATCTAGGGTGGGCTGGCCAGGGTACAATACTATATCAGTAGTGATCATAACATTTTGCTCTGTGTACATAGAACATCCAATGTGAGCAACCATGACTTAAGCTGAACGTGTGTAAATATTATCAGATTTCTTAAACATTTTTAACTTCTAATTTGTACTTTATGGTAAGGCAAAAAGCTAATTCTACTTATGGTTTAGGTTAATGTGTCCTAAAATTATGTAAATAATTAAATAAGCTGTAAATGAGCAGGCCATAGATACAGTATTTGTTTAGTGACTTTTTTTTACTGAGTACAAGAATTGCAGTGCTCTAGCAGAGTAATTTAAACACCCTTTTGCATAAACAGATTTGGACTCCAGATATCAAATAGTACAGAAGGTGCTGTGGTGTAGAGTGGCCGTGGTGGCAACGTTCCTGCTGGCACAAGTGACTCTTCTGTGTGGTTCCCATGTTCAGGCACCCCAATAGCTTGGGCTCAGAGCTGGAGCAGCAGGAACAAAGGGCCTGGGTTTCACTTGCCATGAGGCACTTTGGTGTTGCTGCAGGGATGGAGAGGTGAACATCAGGGTAAGTGAGAACTGAGCTGGTGATTTCCTTGCAGAAGCTGCATATTGCTGTCTGTCTCTGAAATCTCTCTCTCTTATGGTATCTAATAGTAGACTTCTATTTTTCTTTAAAAAAAAAAAAAAGGTTTGACTGTCGTTAGATAGCATAGTCCCCCAAAGCCAAAGAACCTTCACTCCAGAAATTCTTTAAAAGGGAAATCTAATAAGTCACTGCTTAACACCAAAGGTAAAGCTTAATAAAATGCACTAGGAACTTTGTCTAAATTTTTAAGAAGCAAAGGAATGTTGATGATCAAAAAGACTGCCCTATTCTACTTTGTAAAAATAGTAATAATTTAAATATCCATTATATAAAATTGAAATAGATCATCTCTACAAGAATATGCAACACTTAACATT